CCCCCCCCCATCCCTTCACTCGCAAGAGCTAGCTCTCTATTTTAACGATCAAATCAAAGTAAACCACAATAAGCGACTTTGGCAGAGATGGATTTTGGGGCCTAGCTTTAATCACTTTGACTACCGCAGAAGATAATTACTTCCTTTGCTCCAATAGACTCTCCAAGTTTGGAGAGGTTTTGTTTAGCAAAGAGTAGTTACTGCAGGCGATTAAAAAAAAAAGGGAAACAAAATAGATAGGGCTTGATATTATCTGGGCAGTGTCTTATGTAGGCATTATAGAGTTGGAGGTGTGCTGGTACGGTAATAATCTTTGGCTTGATGAAATACATTGCACATTGGAGCTAGTGTTAAAATGGCACAAAGTGTGCTGGGGCGGTTAAGGTTCCTATTTTCTGCTTTGGGTTGTGCAGAAAGCTTTGGCTGTGTATGTGTGTCCGTCTGCGAGCGCGTAGCATGTTGCGGGCTCTGCCTTTGGAGCGTTGCTGTAACTTTTTCCAGATCCTACGTGTAATTGCATCAATATAAATATCTGTAAATGATGTTGCGTGTGTTTGTGCATGTACAAATAGTTGTGTACGCCCATATAAAGCTGTGCACATGCATATGTGTGTCTAATATTGGTGTATTTTTGTGTACAAAGGGGGTGTACGTGTGTGTACGTATATATGCTCCTATGAGGGGTTTTGGTTTTTTGGTTTGGTTTGGTTTTTTTAAGCAAACCAATTGACTATAACTTGTAGCATTAATACAGGAGACTACAGGTCATTAGAGTGCTACAAATTATGAAGTATGGGCTTAGTTTATTGAAGATTGTAAATATCCCCTCAGCTCTGTTCCCTCCCTCTCTGCCTTATATTGCAGGCTGCCATTGTGGGGTAGGCCCCAGCTGCGTGTTTACTTCAACATTCTTTTTATTTAAGTGGACTGTTCTCACTAGAGTGTGATTACTCAGCAATAAACTTTATGGCCGGATTTAACTTTAGTCTTTGAATTTCAGGACTTGAATGAAAGGGTGAAAGGAACTCTGTCATTCTCGGGGTAGCATTAAGGCCTGATCCTTATCCTTAGAGCTGTTACTTAAGTGAGTGATCTAGAGGGGGGTGCAGCAGACTGACTAGTCAGGGGCTAGGGAAGAGATTTGAGAATTGGCTAAAAAAATTAAAAATAAATAAATAAAAATTCTATATCTACATGTGTATTGCCAAAGCAGCTGTGAGTATCTCGTTCTCCACTCAGGTTTAGAGTAGAAGGGATTCAGAAGGTCGCCTTGTTTTCCTTCATGTGTCATAAACTCTAGTTTGCAAAAAGAGCGGGTTGGTTTGATGTGAGCTGCGAGATGGGCTTTGTTTTATTTCGCTTGTGCTACCCCACTTGAATATTGCGGTTTAGGCTGTACTACTACTGTGAGTAAAAAGGAGAGAAAGGCACAGGGGTACAGGAGGGTAAGGTTGCTGTGCACCTCTAAAAGGTCTGCACGTTGCCAACTCACTCCTCTATTTAATGTATTTGCCTTTAACGCTGAAGAAACTGCAATTCTAAGGTTGACTCAGCTCAAAGATCTCACAGTTTTACGAATACTTAACATTTAGAGTCAATGTGTAAGATAAATGGAATCTGAAGCCTTTGTGTCTATATATCCTCCCTATGAACACTAAACAAACACATATGCATATATTTTATATTAAAAATATGGGAAAAGCTTTAAAAGTGCATAACCAAATGCACATTTGAAAACCATTTCCGCAATAAACAGCTGGAGATTTTATAGTACACTAGCTGTTACATTTCCATCAATAGGAATACCAG